CCGTGCTGTCTGTGGGCACAAGCCGACTGAGCTACAGATAAGCTGTAACGCTCGAGGCGCTCCAGCTCTTCCTTATGATCACAAGTTTTGGGTAATGACCAGAAAGCGGGTGCTTTGCTTTTGAAACTCCTTATACAACCATCCTGAGTCGTCCAACGCAGTAGACGCTGGTAAAAGAAAACACATCACCATCATCTGAGAAGGACTCCTCACGGTTCATCGCATGGTGGAAGTGTTTGGGACAGGTTCAAGCAAGAGAAGCCAGATCCAGAGGCGTCACATGTGTGGCCTTTAAGGAGCTCTAACATGAGGAAAAATTAACTCTGTAAAAACAAAAGCCTTTTAAAGCATCCCAAAGCAGATCCAGATCAGGTGCTGTTGATCGTCAGTGTTTCTACTCATCACATACCTCCAGTCATTTTCCATCATGAGTCTCAGGAATGCAAACCCTTTGACAGCAGCTCCACAAGACGCACGCTTCAACTACAAAGGCGTCGCTTTCTGACGAGCCTCACACAAAGCGGTGCTGTTCTAATCATTAACCCGGCCCGTCCAGCAGCGTGCACACGTTCTGTTTGAATGTGGGCTTGAATGTGTGTTCTTTGCAGAGTCCCGTCTCAGGTTGAACTCCCCGCTGACAGCTATGAATAGGTTCCCCTGTATTTGTTTCACATCGCTGCAAAAGAACATCAAACACTCGAGCTTCTCGGTGTCAGCTTTGTGAAGACAAATTAAATCAAACTCACGCTTGACCTCGAGAGGAGATCGTGTTTGCTCAACTGGTCACGGGTTAATATTCTGAGAACTGGTTAAACGTGCAAAAGCGCGAACATTTCAAGAGTTTTTCTGATTGTAATTACACAGCGACTTGTTCTCAGTCAGTGGAGGCACCGTGCGGGTATCAAGACTGTTTAATCATTTATTTTTCACATTTATGCTTCAGTCTAATTTAATGTATTCACACAGATTCATTCACACTGGATTCATCTCGGGGCAACGTTTTTCTGACTTTTATTCCAAGGCAGAATGTTTTAAATGCCTTTCTGCTCCTACGTGGGCGTTTCGTTTTGCTAAATGATATCTGAAATAAAACGTCTTCTTTTAAATAGTCATTCATTCCAACACACTTTTTTTGTGGAGTTCAATGCGTCTCTTCTCACGGCCCATTAGCTGTCTGTTCTGTATGCAGTGAATAAAAAGATCCGGTCGGGTGCACAGGCCGGGTTCTGCCAACGGGAAGCGAACAAAGTGGCTCACACTGATCCACACAGAACCGCTCCAGCTCGTCCTGGACACGTTGGTGCTGACGCACAGCGCAGACGGAAAGGAGAGAGCAGGACGGTCAACCTGACACATGTCTACATATATAACCATGCTACTTGCTAAACGTCAGCAGTGGTTCTACAAAACATCCAAAACTCTGTCTTCACCCTGTTCAGGACTTTTGGGCTCTTTTGGACCCCATTTGGTCCAGGTGACAGCTATTGTTTTGTTTTTAAATATAAATAGAGGGACATGTGTCTTCATTATGAACCAAAAATACGTCAACTTATCAGAAAATGTATTTAACATCATATAAGTCTGTGATGAAGACCAACAAGTATTTGCCACATATTCTTTCTTGGGGGGCTGCAAGGTGTCTCAGTGGTTAACATCGTGGCCTCTCAGCTAGAAGGTCGCCGGTTGGCGTCCCGGTGAGGACACCCGGGATCTCCTGCGTGGAGTCTCCATGTTCTCCCCGTGCAGCGTGGGTTCTCTCCGGGTTCTCCGGCTTCCTCCCACAGTCCAGAAACATGCTGAGGTTAATTGGTGATTGTAAATTGTCCGTAGGTGTGAATGTGAGTGTGCTTGGTTGTCTGTCTCTAAGTGTAGCCCTGTGATAGACTGGTTACCTGTCCAGGTGAACCTGCCTTCACCCTGAGTCAGCTGGGATAGGCTCCGCCCCCCATGACCCTGGTGAGGGTTAAGTGGTGTGTAGATGATGGATGGATGGATTCTTTCTTGGGGTCCAATGGACCCTTAAAGACCTTCTGCGTGGCACCATGAAGGTCCTGGACAGGGTTCATGTTGTCGCTGACCCTGTAGAACCCTGTACCGTACTTATATCTGCCACCAAACAGCTTGAAGGCCCTCTCCTAGAAACCTGTCTGCTGCATATTTAATTCAGCTCCTGCTTTAAAAGGTCTTTGATGTGACTCTACCTCATTGCTTCCTCTAGAATGTGCAGATCTATGAAGTCCCTGCCTCTTTCTCCACTCACAGCATCACGTGTTTTCACTTTGAGTCATGAACCTCATGCAAAGACGAGTGTGAAGGTCTGGAGGACAAATGGTGGATATAAGAGGATCTCAAACTTTAAAATCAGGTTATTCAGACACACTGCAGCCGACCAGGTGCTGCTAACATGTTTCAGATAGCCTTTGTCATCACTGGTGGAGCTGCCGTTCCCTTCAGTAGATGCTACAGCAGTGAGTGATGAACATCTGCTCCTCGGTGCCACAAACTACCTCCAACTATCTCCAATGTAAAGAGCCAGTCCATCATGTGCTTCAAGCTTTTTCAAGGTAGAGTTCAGTCTGTGACAGAACAGCACACCTGTACGTGATAAATTTAAAAATGACCTCATTCCTCTGAGCTGAGCCACTTCCAGGGTCCTGATGCTGTCCCTTCAGGAACCCCGGCCCCCTACCACAGTGGGTAATTCAACCATTCAGCTCATGGACAACCCTCCATACAACTGTTAAATTAACAGTAAAAACTTTGTGTATGTATAAAAAAACACAGAGAGGTTTATGTTGTTCTGTCAAAATGTCAAAACCACTTGTTTGAATTCCTCCCAGCAGGAAAACGACTTCAGCGTTACTTAAAGATCAGCAAGGCCACCACCACCCAAGAACAGACCTGAAATTAAAATGCAGAGTTGTCAGCAGGGGAATAAAGGAGGGAAAGACTTGTTATCTCAGGGGGCGTCTTACCCTGGTTTACTTTACTGGGACACTTCATAAAAACTGAGCCATCATTGATGACATTTGTTTGGCATGTGGGTTTCCTGCTAAGACGAGGCAAAATGTCTTGTGTGATGCTGAGATCAGGCTGTGTGGAGGCCACGCCGTCCACATTATTCATGTCACTGACGACTGATTTACCGTCTATAGTTTTTAGGGCCCAGAAGAAGCCTGGGTCACGCCAGGAGTGTTTCAGTTGAACGCTAATCATATTATTTGGCCATAAGTGATTTCAGGCAACGTTGCCATAACACTAGTCTAACTATTAAACTGGGATCGACACCCCCATTAAGAACAATGTCTATTTTCTTTTAAAATATACATTCTTTGAGCATCAGTATAATATGTACTGATACATTACATCAGGCTACAGCTTTATTATTATAAAAAAAAAACGTAAAATCTTAAAAAGGGTTTCTCTGCCAGGTCATGGGGACGGTGCACAAACCAGCAAAAGAAGGTCACTTAAAGCAATACAAACCTGATACCTATGCATGAGATTAATTAGATTTTCAACATTTTAAAACTTTAAATGCAACATAAATGTTAGACAGCACATAAATTGTATTTAATTAAAAGGAAAAAAAAAGTTGATAATTGCAAATGTATTTACAGTTGCACGGCCTTCGACAAAAGATTTAGCTTTACTTTAATATCACTGATATTAACATTAAGGACATAAAGATAAAGTCAAATCAACACGAATGTTTAGCCCGCTGTGGCTAAACGCTAGCTAGCTAGTGCTACATCAAGCTAATGTAGAATAGCGTCATTAGCTTAACCTAAAGTTAGTCAGAGACAGATAATATTACCCTTATTTAATGCTAATTAGACATTTTCTTACTGTACATAATTTATCAGAAAGCTTTGCAAGACTAAAATTAAAAATGAATGAATAAATTAAAGGACGTCCATGAGGAGCTTTCTTGGGCCCTTCCCTTAAAAGTCTGACTGTTTTTTTCAAACTTTTATTTTTATTTTTACATATATCACAAGAGTTATTTTAGTTCAAATGAATGGATGTATGGAGTAGTGAGAGTGCCCAAGTACAAAAATAAATCAATAAAAGAATAAAAAATAAATAAAAGTAGAAATAAAAAGAAGAATAAATACAATACTAATTTATTATATTTTTATTTTGAAAATGTATTTTTTAAAATCATTTTTAAAATCATTTTTATTTTAAATTTTTTAAAAAGTTATTTTTTCTTTTCTTTTGCTTTTAAAGCCACATTTAATTTAAAGCAACTTTTCTTTTCTTTTTGTTTTGAACATAAATCACAAGAGTTTTTGTTATTTTTCGTTCTAATACATGGATGGCCCTCCACATGACTCTCATTATAATTACATTCTGATTAATACATATATATATATATATATATATGTGTGTGTGTGTGTGTGTGTTAGAGACTTTGTTTGTATTGTCAAGTTGTTAAATTAATTTCACTCAACACTTAATTTTTAAAAAAATTTTCTCAGACAAGTAAAATAATTTCAGTGCTTTTTAAAGATTAATAAAGCCACGAGAAAGTCATAAATAAAATAAATGCTGATATTTCTAACAGCCAGGATGGATGATGTGGTTGAAGGAACATCTCACTCTGATTTAGACCAGATACCAAACAGGAGGCCACAACCAACAGGTGTGCTGGAGGCTCAGCGCACCTGGACTCAGGTAACTCCCCTCAGATGTCCTATTAGAAGCTGTTTTCCCTCTTATTGTCTAAATAAATCAGTTCACCGTGAGATAAGCACCGGTGGAGCGCTGTGATGGGCCCAGACAGCCGGTTCCTCCGCTCTGATTGACAGCGGTTCCCGATGGGAGGGTCGATCCGTGGAGCCACAAGTCCCGCCTCGCCGTCTATGTCTTGCTGGGACTTGAGGCTATAAAATGAAGGAACTTACAGTAATCGGGACGCACTCTGTAGCTGGAGTTCCCTTTGTGAACTCCTGTCCAGCAGCCCGGCTCCCTCCGCGGCTCTAATCAGCGGCTCTCGGGCTCACATCGCCGCCGTCGCTTCGCTCCCACTTGAGGCTGAAAACCTTCCGTCCGGCCGCCGGTGGAGACGAGCAGAGCCATGGCAGGGGACGGCTCGGACCAGCGGGCGCTGCAGTATGAACAAACTCTGGTGAGTGTCACTTGTTGCCAGCCTGAACTCAGTCCGCCGGTGTCACCGCGGTTCTGCTGCAGGACGGACTCCGGTCCGCCAGCAGCAGCACCAGCAGCGGCTAAGAGCACACAACGAGCTAACGATAGCAGCGATGTGGAGCCTCCAAAGTTGTGATATAAGTGAAATAAACGAGCTTTAATGTCCTCTGTGTGCGCCGAATGAATCAACGTGACTGTGTGGTTGTGGAAAGTTGCCCTGGAGTGGGCATGTTTGTCCACAGCGAGGACTGAAGCAAAAGTTGTCAGATCCTAAACGAGGTTCGGCCCCCTGCGCTCTCACGTGAATGTGGCCGAGGTTTGTGGTGGAGGACGCGGCTGTGTGTGGTGTGTGTCCCTAAGTCCTTAATTGTGCCTTTGTGTGCATTGTGAGGCGGCAGAAGTAGCTGAAGACACGGTTCTGGATAGCTGAAGCCCACACAATGGATCTGTTGGGCTCACAACAGCACAGACAGTAAAGGTGCTTCTGGTCAGAACATCTGGATGTGGCTGTGCTACAGGTAGGAGGAGGCTTGGGCCAGACTCCACTCTGAAGTCAGGCGCTTTAAGAAAGACATCACAGAGCCTGGTTTAGAGTTTACAAAGTGATTATACGTTCATAAATATAGTTTTGCAGCTATTCTGGCCCGTCTGCTGCTATAACTGAACGCATGGAGCATAATGGTAACACAAGCAGCACAGCAGTGGTTCCTGCATGTGCCAGGAGCTGAGTGAGTGTGTAGGCTGCACATCATCTGAGCATAGGTCGCTGGTGTTCAGCTGCTGTGTGCATGTGCATGCATAATGCAGCTGCACAGGTGTGCGGTGCTGGTGCCAGCCATCGGGCCTGCATGTCTGTGTTTGGGGTTTATAAGTTACTATAGGCTCGTTAAGCTTGCAGTAGGTTACATAATGGGTTGGGATGCATAGAGAACCTGCACGCTGCTCGGTGTGAGACACGGTATCGGGTCACAGATCAGGGCCTGCAGACTCCAGCTTCATGGTTCTGTCTTCAGGGGGAAGCAGATGATTGCAGTCTGATACAGTTTCTGTCAGGTCCATGATGTGGAGACCGTACGCCGGCCCTGCAGGACCTCCTGAGGTTCCTGTGGATCCCACTTTAAAGAGCCCAGATTTGCAGCGTGCCGGTCTCTTGGGTCCAGGGTGGGGTTTGGCCTGAGAGGCCCCCCGCTGTGTGTGTGTGCTTGAACTTTTCCTGACAAAACTTCTGTCAAGCCTAAAGAAGCTGCTGTTTGAAGAGGCTGGTTTTACGGGCCGGCCGGACCCATTCAGTGGCATCCAGGCTTTAAATTAAGAGGAGCCACAACTGTTACACTGCTTTGGGTTGTTTGGGCCTCCGCTTCCTTTTCTTCAGAAAAGTTCCTTTTGTGAAGCGCACACACACACACACACACACACACACACACGCCCCCCTCTCCGCCCGCCCGCCTCTCCGTGTGCTGTTAATCTGTGTGTGTTTGTGGGAGAGATTACACAACTTGCGACCCGCTGACTCAGCACTGGACGCTCCGTCACCCTGGCCGGGTCTCGTGCTCGGCCCTCCGGCTCTCTGAAAGGGAAAAAGGAAAACAGAAAGTCCGTGCACCTTCTCTGTTAATCTCCGCTCGCCCTGCTGCGGTCGGTCGGAGGATTGTTGCAGGAACGAACTGGTGAAAGCGTCTAAATAGATTCAAATAAAAATAGTGGCAGAGTGAGAATAACCTCTTTTAACATAAACGAGCTCTCTCTCCGTGCCCCCCATCTCCTGGCCGTGGGCTGGAGTAACACGGTGTCTTTGTGTGATGCTGGCAGCCGTGGCGGTTGTGTGGGTTTTGTTGTGGGCAGTGGATGCTCAAAGAGGCCAGTGTAGTTTGGCTGAAAGGCTGGCTGTACGGGGAGGCTGGCAGAGCGAAACCAGCCGCAGCATATTGTCGCTTTGCATCAGGTTGTATCTATACACGCTGCTTTTGGACGCTGCTTTCTGCTATAAACTGTGGTCTGATTTGTGCTTGTTTGGGTGTCGTGTGATGATTCATGGTCTGTCTCAGTGTTTGGTACTCGAACAGCTGAAAGAGCAACTCGCAGGTTGGTCAGTGCATTAATGAAGCTGAAGCTTTGAAAATAATATGTTTGAATAGAATCACATCCAGTGCAGATTGTTTAGCAGAGTTTATTACCCACAAAGAGAGAGTTGAACACGCAGCGATGTGGATCTACAGTCGTTCTGATGCTGCAGATACCAAACATGATTATTCATGCACATATGACCGACCACGGGTTCGTAAGCATGAGCCCGCTGGATGTCGCCGAGACCTGGAACGAACAGGGACAGAAGCATCGGGCATCAGACGGAAATTAATCAGACGTTTGAATGAGTGTGGACCGGACGTCGTGACAGGCTGCAGTTTGTGCAACGTGCACACGGTGATAAAAAAAGAGCGTGCAGAGTAGAAAAAAACCAAGTTTTAAGTCCCAGTCGCTCCACAGACTCGCTGCCACCTCGGTGAGCTGAGCCGGAGTCATGTGGTGTAATGGGACACGTTAGGGACAACAAGCAGCTTCAACAGCACCGGTTGAAAAGCCTGAGTTTATGTTTCTCATAAAATATATAAAAAATCATGCATTAGCCTCTTAATCACGTCTATGAAGGATTTAGTGACACATCCAACCTGCAGGTTCCTCTGTAGGTTTAGATGGTGGCCTTCTGAGACCAGAGTGAGCTGCACACGACGCTATCTGGCCGATCATCTGAGAGCCATTCGTAATAAACTCGAGCACTGATAGTGACGAAAACAAATAATAAAGATTGTTTTTCCCCTGAAAATTGTATTTTTATGCACATTTTTTACATATAAAGTAAAAACTGACCCCCAGCAGCACCTGTTTACTGTTAATTTTAATCTAATTGGTTTTAATTTCATATTTTCGCTGCATTGAAGTGATTCAAGGTCATCAGGCGTTGCTCAGCGGCGTTAACGATGACTGGACCAGAAGTGAGACGCTAATATTTACGACCGTTTCACGTGGCGTTTCCCTGAGTAATAAAAGGCCAATTCACTTGCAGAGCTACGTGCACGTTTCGTAATAATTAACTGGATGATCATAATATCGCCGTGCATCGGACGTTATTGACATGTGAGCCTGTTAAAGGGCCACGCCACCAGTTCAGCACATCAGTCTGCACAGCGATTAAAGCTGTGTAATGTCCTGTGTGTCCATAAAGGGAGCTTTCCCAAGTCACCCCGCTGGTGAATCCGGGTCGTGACAGCAGACACAACGTCTGTGTCGCAATCTGCACTTTAAAAGGAATTTTTCCAGGCAGGCAGCAGGAGGCAACAAACAGCGATCCCACATTGCATCATGGAAACTGTACCATCCTTACAAGTGCATGCTTTTATTGTTGTGTAATCTGTCAATTATTGTCTCAGTTAACCACTTCCACTCCGGCTACGTTAGGAGCAAAAATACCCACCAGATTGAAAAGGTTTGTGGCTACATGCCAGAAGGAGGTCCGGCCACAGAGAAAGCCTCACAAGTTTCTTGGGTGGTGATACAAACGCAGAGTTAGTAGAAATAACAAAAGACGTGTGTCCACCTAAACAACAGATATATAAGAAATGCTGCAAGACGCAACTTGAAACGGTCATCACCACCACGCACTGTGTGTGTTTAGGCTGCAAAGTACATGAAAGTGACTTGTAGTGTGCATTAAGGGGAGGAGGAGGAGGAGGAGGAGGAAGGCAAAGGCGTGAAACGATGAAAAAGTCCCGTCACAGGTTCCTAAAGCCCGACATGACAGGTTCTGTCCAACCAACAGTGTAGCATCCTGAGACACAGTGCTGCCCGTTTACTATCACACCCTCGGCTCTGGATGGAATCATGACCATCCATCCATCATCTATACACCGCTTAATCCTCACCAGGGTCATGGGGGGCGGAGTCTATCCCAGCTGACTCAGGGTGAAGGCAGGTTCACCTGGACAGGTAACCAGTCTATCACAGGGCTACACTTAGAGACAGACAACCAAGCACACTCACATTCACACCTACGGACAATTTACAATCACCAATTAACCTCAGCATGTTTGTGGACTGTGGGAGGAAGCCGGAGAACCCGGAGAGAACCCACGCTGCACGGGGAGAACATGGAGACTCCACGCAGGAAGATCCCGGGTGTCCTCACCGGGACGCCAACCGGCGACCTTCTAGCTGTGAGGCCACGGTGCTAACCACTGATCCACATTGCAGCCCCAGAATTATGACTATATCCGGGATTTTCCAAAAAGATGGCCCCATCAGAAAGTTATTTCCTGTAACCAGAGGTATACAGAGGATTAACTGATCATTAACCAGCTGAGCAGGTCAGTGATGACGTGACTCTGGTGCCCTGATGATCATCAGACAGTGAATACGTCAGTGATCAGATCTCAGGTGAGCAGGTAACTGACAAACCAACACGTTGCCTTCCACGGCTGACCGGGCTGTGATGACCGACGCTCGGCCCGTGAGCCGTAACGATCGACCGACCGTGACTTTAAACGGACAAAAGTTATTCCTGGAGTCAATTTTGGGAAATTTCGTTCAGACAAAAACAGGATTATGACATTAATCTGACAATAAACTGGATGTTTTACTGCAGGTTATACAGGAAGTGATTCAGGATATTTTATGATTATAAACAGGATGTTCTATGAAGCGCTGTGACATTAAGTGGGCAGCGCTGTACTAAATTACACTGAGACTAATCAGATCAGCAGATATTCACATTGAGGAGCTTGAATCGCTTAAAACAAACAAACAAACAAACAAAAAGCAGAAAATCCAAATGGCCTCAGATGAACTTTGACTTTCGGAGCTTGCGGCTGTTTTTCTGTCTTTATCGGCACCACGGCAGCTTCAGAGCAAATCTTAAACCCGTCCGACTCCTGTGACTCTCTGGGTGTCCGTTTGTGTTTCTTGTGGGTTTTAGTCAAACGAGCGGCG